CTCTTTAAAAACACTGAGGAAGGAAGAGTTCACAGCAGTCAGAGTGGACCGGAGCGGGAACCAGCCGCAGACGGCGGGGAGCGCTGACGTGAACCACAGAGATGGGCCCCAGGGGGGTGTGGCTGCCTGGTCCAAGCCCTCACCTCTCTCTCTCTCAGACTACAGCAGCCCCTGAATTAGGCCGCCTGCCTCCAGCTCTGCCTCCCTCCTGGCCATCCCTCTGAAAACAGTGGGAGAGAGCTTTCCAAAGCTTACATGTGAGCGCTCCCCACAGGTTCCCCATGGCCCAGAGGTGACCCTCACTCTCCCACAGATGATCTGGGACCTTCCTGTTGGGCTCCTTCAGGCTCATTCCCATCCCGTGCCTCCAAGTAATGGTGTTCTTTGTGATTCCCCAAACACCCCCCATATCTGAGGGGGAACTGTCTGCCTTCCTCAATGCCCAGTTCTAATGACACCCCCTCCAATGAGGCTTTCCTTAATTCTCCCACACTCAAAACCGCCCACTCTTTTCACCACTCTGTTCCACTGCAGACTCCCCTAACTGCGGGACAATCTACTGGAAATCTAGTATTTCCCCAAATGTGGCCAAAAACAACAGAAAAGTTTAGTGGTCCTCAAGAACAGAGACTCTGCTTATTTGACTCTCTATGCCCAACATCTATCTACTCAAGGGTCTAGACACACTGGATTCTCAATGAAAAGTCTGCTGGACTGAATTAATCATTTCTGTGCTTTATAAAGTTCAAATCTTTGTGGAAATCTTAAACTTCCCCCAAAACAAATTTTGTTACAAAGGTTAAAATTAGGGGCGCCTGGGTGGCGCAGCTGGTTAAGTGTCTGCCTTCGGCTCAGGTCATGATCTCAGGGTCCTGGGATCGAGCCCCACATTGGGCTCCCTACTCAGTGAGGAGTCTGCTTCTCCCTCTCCCTCTGTGTGCTCTCTCTCTCTCTCAAACAACTCCCTCTGTGTGCTCTCTCTCTCTCTCAAACAAATAAAATCTTTAAAAAAAAGTTAAAATTAAAGCCCACACATTTTTAGGGTGATCTGGCTCACAAACAGGCACTCTGAGAACCACTTCTGCAATCAGCAGAAGCATAAAGCTGACTTTGGAACTTATTTTAACAGATTTTCAAGAGCTTGACTTTCGTAGCTAGGATGATTCCTCAACTGTGACATGAGAATGACCACTCTCTTCGTGACTCTGCTTCGGAGGAATATGGTGGAGCACGATGCAGAGCGTGCGCTGTCCTGAAAAGGCTGCAGGGACAGCTGAGAGGAAGTTACCTCCTTCTCCCTTGGCCTAAAGCAGAGGGGTTTTCAAACCTTATTCAGTGGAACAGCCAAAGAGACCATTGCTAAGGATAAAAGAGCACGAGCTTCAATTAAAACAGTGTTTACTCATTTAGGGGTGTCTGGGTGGCGCAGTGGGTTAGATGCCTGACTCTTGGTTTTGGCTCAGGTCCTGATCTCAGGGTGGTGAGATCGAGCCCTGTGCCAGCCTCCGCGTTCAGCTGGGAATTGGCTTCAGATTTCTCTCTCCCTCTCCCCCTCCCGCTCTCCTGCTCTATCAAATAAATAAATCTTAAAAAAAAAAAAAAAAAAAGAACAGCGTTTACTCATTTATATATTAAATGTTTCGACTAAGATTTCAATCTGAAAAATGAGTTTGTGACTTAAAAAAGGCTGGAAAGCGACCAGCCTCAAGAATTCTAGCACACCCTTCCCCGGAAAGGAGGGAGGGTTATAGGCAACAGGGCTCACAGGGAAGCCACACCCAGCAGCAGCCCCAGGTGAGCAAACTACTTTTTCCAACTCTGAGGGAGGACAGGATGAAGCTTGGCTTCATTCTTCAAAGGAGGGCTACAGGCCTTTGTCTTGTAAACATATGGAGAAGTGCCCAGCAGTGGGCTAAGGCCGGCAGGCAGGCACAAGTCCTGAAGTGGCCAGTGGACAGCCACCTCCCTTCCAGGAGGCCTTGTTACATCTTCTCAGGCAGGGCACAACACCTCTGTTAAGTCTGGATACTTCCTGCCACCCTCTACCGCCCACCCAGAAGCTATCCTTCTTGTCTGCTGGGATGACTTCAACCTTCTGTAGCGGCTTTATCGCGTCAGTTCGTGTGGGAGGCCAAGACAACGTGGCTATCAGCCTGACCCCACAACGAACTCAGCCGGGAGGCTCATCCCTGCCTCCCACAAATGTGCGGTTGTTACACTCCAGAGCTGAACGGGAGAGCACGGACAAACAGGCAAGATCGACCTCTCCTACGAGACCACTTCCCGGTGATGGCTGGTTAGGAAGGTTAAGGAAGGCATCGCTAACGTCAAGTGCCCGTGGGAGGTGAAGGCGGCAACATCTCTGCACGTAGGCGACAGCCAGTCTCGTGCTCCTGGACCGTCCTAATGTCCTCTGAGTGGTGACACAGCAGCTCTGTGGCTAGGACCTCACGGCCCCAAGTTACGGATGATCACCACAGGGTCAGTCACACATGAAGCCCACACGTGGACCAAGGGCTCGGTGTTAAAAAATTCACCTTGCTTCTAAAATGTGGGCGCTGAGGAAAGGGTCGGTAGCAAGAGCTGCACGCCCAGCTCCAGGGGACGTGAGGGGTGACACGGGGTGTGCCAGCTCGAGGCCTTCTGCTTGAAAACTTTCTCCCACCTCCACTGGATGCAACCCCGCCTGAGAGAGCAGTGGTTTAAGATTCAGAAAGATCTGAGTTCAAATCCCGACAGTGACGTGTACTAGGCTTGGGGGCTCTGGGCATATCCGTTAAACTCCTGGAGCTCTGGTTTCCTCACTGTTATTCCCCAGACTCTGAATAATGGAACTTATTTGGCAGTGAGCTCAATGGAAAGAACCTCCAAGAGGCCCTGCAGTACACTAACTCCTGTCTCTGCATCCCCATCACCAGGCAGTGCATCCCTGGGATTCCCTCCACGTTTGCTCTTGGCTCTTTCCACTAACACTTATCCCACGGTGCCCTATAGTTCCCATTCCCATCTCCACGGCCAGCTCTGTGAATAGGGGGTTGACTGGTTAAATGCCCACCATGATGAACACCATGCCCGGAGCGCTCAATTGGTATTAGCTGATGGGAAGAAACAAAGGCCTCCCTTCTTCCAAGAATAATGTGGCAGGGAGGAAGGCAAGTAACTCCAAGAAGATGGAGGTGGTTCTGGGGGCTGAGCCGGTTGCTACCCTATTGCCTCTGTTTCCACCTCCTTAGGTCGGCTCCCAAGGCGAGTGGGCCATGGCTGAAAGGAGGGGGGAAGTCACCTTTTCTTATTTTGTAAGAACAAGCATAAATACAACCGTGTGTTTGTGTGTACACGTATGTATAAAGTAATGGTAAATTGTTTCCAACGAGGAAGACTCTTCAAAATTCCCAAATGAGAAAAAGAGCACTTCCTGCATCCCATGGGGAATCCCTTCTGGACAGGAGAGCTTTATTCACCATGCACAGGGCTTCTGGTCCAGGGCTGTGTGCCCCGGTGAGTCAGTAGGAACCACATGGATGGTACAGAAATAAGAGCAATTCATAACATCGCAGATGGAAACACACAACTGATGTCTGTAAACTTCTTTTGTACATCATTAATTCGTTAGCGCAGAGAAACCAGAAACAAAGTCAGAACTTGAGCAAACACTGGGGTAGTTACATCCGCATAGAGAGGACGGCACCTTTGGTTAAAAAGCAGGATCTATGAAGTTATCTTAGTCTTCCAACTGCTCAGCCCGTGCAGCTAAAAGCCAGCCACCATCAGCCACACGTGCGAGCGAGCCAGCATGCTGCCCACTGCAGAGGGCCACCAAATGCTCCTTCCTGGTCACTAGTCCTGTTCCACAGCCAGCCTTGTTTGCGTAAAAAAAAAAAAAAAAAGTTGGAGGACTTTGGGTAGGATCCCAGTGTTCACCATTCAGTGCTGTGAAATCACACTTTGTTCTTTAGGTTTAGTACAAAAACAAATTTAATGAATGTATGGAAAAAATCGGAACAGAACAACAACAAAAAAGGCAGGTGGGAAAGGCAACAATATGGGCTCCAAACTCATTTTTATTATAAAGCAAAGCTCTTCTGGGCAAACTATAATCCCTCTGCATTTCTAAAATCGGGCATTATGGGGAAAAAAAAAAAAGTCATGTATGTTTTACTGCAAATTTTGGAAGGGGAGAAAATAAGGAGAACTTGCATTTAAAAACTGTCAGTGCCTCCATTTTTGCTGTGAAATATATTTTCAGAGAATGGAAAATGAGACACCTGTAAAGAACAATTAAAGTGAACTCCCGTATAAATGGAATTACAAACATGGATTTAAGAGCTTTCCCATCTCTATGATCTTTTTTTAAGACCTCACCTCAAATTTCTTTTTTTAATAACAGAGCTGTACACTTAAAAAACAATATTGAGCAATGTGGAAGAAATCTGGCAGAAAATACTCTGTGTTTACAGAACACATTTTTCGAAAAATTAAGTGAAAAAGATGTGTTTTTCATAAGTATTCTTTAAAATACATAAAAAGCGTAAAACAACTTCTAAATATTCTTTTAAAGTAATTTCATGATAAAAAAAAAAAGTAATTTCATGATAACTACTCTGGAAGTGATTCTTATTTTATTTATTTACTACTTCTACACTAACTTTGCGTCTCTGGACTTTTTTTCCCCTCTCCTAGCCCGGGGCTGTTTGGTGGACATTTGAAGGTTAAAAAAAAATCATGTTTCTGTGCTGAAAAGTTATCAAGACCAGCTCTCTGCTGCATTTGCATTGTTATTAGGGACACACACACACACACACACACACACACACACACACTCTGAGCTTAATGTGAGGCTAGTACAGAAAGAGAGATTAGACACAAAGAAATGTAAACAGCTCTCACATGCGAGGAAACTAGGTTACGAGAATCCCAGCACCAGGCATTCACCAGTCACCATGGAAAACAGGAAGTGAGATGCATAGCAACCACAAGCCAAAAAGCAGGAAAGCGCATACCTTTAGCTTGGAATGAAAATCACGAGATTTCCTTCTGGCAAGAACCTGAATGTGACTAGACACCTGCAGGGTAGGGGAAGGGAGGAAAACAAAGGAAAAGCCTGTAACCATGGAGATGAAAAGCCCCCTACAACTGGGCAAGCCAGACGTACCTTAATGGCGGCTTGAATTTCTCGAACTTTCTTTCTTGCTAAGACCTGTATATGACTAGACACCTACATTGTTCGGGTTTATGAGGGGAAACAAAACAAAACAAAACAAAACAAAAAAAGGAAATCAAATATAAAATCGCTACTCCTTGGGAGGGTTTTGGGGTGGGGGGTGAGGGGGAGGTTATTTGCATCTCAACAAAGCTCTGCAGTTAGGAATACACAGTCCCAGCCAGACACCAAGCCCCCAGCGCTGCTCTAAGCTTTTCAGACTGGGTCATCACTGCAGTGACTTGATTCAGGATGAAAGTTAGGCTGCTCTTAGTTTTCTCACCAGGGAGAAATCACGGGCACGGGATGAGAGGGAGAGAGTGGGGTTGTTTTCTTTATGAAATTTAAAAGGTGGGGCTAGAGGTAAATGAAAATATTTATAGCTTCTCAGTATCAGGAGGGAAAATCCCTTCTTCTCAATTTAGAAGAGACTATCCATAAATTAGCACATTCTGCAGAATCAAAAAGCTGAAGCCGTCGGTTATATTCTGATCTCATTAAGAGCTCTGGATTCTGTAGCAAATGTTAAAATAATACTGACATGTAAATTAGATCTCAAAGACAAATGGAAAGACCCAGTTAGCAGAGCAATTTTTTTTTTTTGCCCTTATAAATATCTTTAATCCTTCCACTCTTTTGGATATTGACTGGGCGCCAAGTGGATTTGCATATTATTACAAAGCGAAAAGTGTGAATACAGCCAGCCAGCCATCCTGTTAAAAATCTGGGTTGAAAACCACACGATTTGCTGAACAACAAATTCACATTGGAGAGGTATCACCAACTGCTGCCTAAAAACATCCCCAGGATGCCGGGTGTGGAAAGCCAGCCAAGCCCAGCTTCTGAAACACAATGATTCCACTGGGTAAACAAATTTGCATCTCTTTCAGCGAGACTTGGTTAAATTTAGAAGAGTCCCCCAGTGAAGGGGTTGGGCACATGACCAGAGCTCCTAGACCAGCACACAGCTCAGGTCCAGGGCTTTCAGCATGTTGGGAATTAGAGCTGTCTGTTTCAGAAATTTAGAACCTTCCATTTAAAAGTTCAGCGACTCAGACTGAGAGGCGGTTATTTCATTTCAAATACTGACTCTAAAAACAGGATTTAGGGTAATAAAAGATCCTTTTATCTTTGAGTTTCAATGATTAATTTTTTTTTCCAATTTGCCTTCTTTTTTTTTTAAAGTACGGAGAAGCAGGAACTCCCCCATCCTCTTCACCCCTCCATCCGGCTCCTGGTTTTACTTGTTCTCACCCGAGTTTTGTTCTTAGGTGATTCTCTGACTTGCAGAGGGCCACTGTCCACTGTTGCGGGGGGGGGGGGGGGGGGGGGAGACCATCCACTGAACAGACAATGCCCCGCCTCTACGTACTGGCAGGAGGCCACGGCCCTCTGTGCTGACTCAGCAGCCAGGCTCCCGGCGGGGGCACATGTAAGCATTCCTGGGGAAAAGCTCTCCCCGCCATAAACACTCATGAAAACAACTCATCATGGAGCAGAGAACTGGAATCTGCTGCTCACACTTAAAGAGACCACAGTTGAGCTCGCCTTTCGGTACGATGATAGTTTTTTAAAAATCCATGCCAGATAGATCCGCATAGGTCAACATTAAAAAATAATTTTGTTCTGTTAACAACTCACCCACGAGGTTGGTTTGATTCCCCCCCTACACACACCGCTTTTCCTTTCTTTTTCTGTTTTTCGTTAAACATGAATTTCTCATCCCTTCCAGTTCTGAACTGGGTCAGGGGTTTGGGCTGCTTTGCATCAGAAGGAACAAGGAGAGCCAGAGCCCTGACAAAGGGCAGAGCAAAATTCCTGACACTGCTCTGCACAAATGTATTTAAGTTGTAACTTCATTTCCGTCACAGCAGCTACTGACAAAAAGCCGTAGCTGAAGGAGCAACCATTCCCTGGACGCACACCATTCAGTATTATGTTCAGGCCAAGACTCACGGCTGCTGGGGTTACTGTTTCATCGAAATGATGACTCATGGGTAATGGTTCCAGGATTTTACAATGCGCAAAATCTCCAAGTTTCACAACTTCTGAGCGTATTCGCATCTGCAGCTTTTGCAGTGTTTACAGATGCGCAGTTTGGGAAAGAACTAGAGGTATTAAAATACGGTACAGGAGCAGTGCCTACACTCTCCTTCGTGGTGACGCTTTCCCAGATAGGTATGAAAAGGACTCCGGAGACCACACAGTGAGGGGTCACTGAAATGATGAACAGTGAAAACTGAGCCAATTGAAAACACCTACAACACTGATGTCCTTACAGGGAACTCAAATTGGGGGCTCCTAGGAGCCAAAGCACAGACAGCCACTGCAGCCAAAATGCCTCGTTGGGGCCATTCGCCAACATGCACAGTGTCCAGGCCGGTCAGTTTACCTGTTTTCTGGTCCTCGTCTTGCCTGTCCTGAGTTTGATGTATCTGGCTATCAATTCATTCCTACCTGAAAGAAAGAAGAATTTACAATAAGATGGGTTACCTTAAAAAACACACACACAAAAACAAACAAACAAAAAACCCAAAAAACAGCCTCTGAAAGCCAAGAATTTAGAATCAAGACTTTTTAAGCTGGACCACATCAAAAACTAATGCTGTATTGTATGGTGACTAACATAACATAATAAAATTTAAAAAAAAAAAAAAGACTTTTTAAGCTGGAGCTGTACACTCACTAATGCTAGAAAAATAAAACAGTACAATTGTTTGTAATAACATTTACTAGAGGAAATTTAGCATGAAGGGCATTTAATGATGAACTATGATTAACAACTGAGGATAGAAATGTGCCTTCTTGTTTCTTTACATGCTCGCACCTAACACGTATGAACAACAAACACAGGATGCGCACTGCGAGTCCACAAACCCATTTCTGTTTCTGTCTAAGTTTTCATGCCCGTCCCTCCTCACCCAGGCTTCTAGCTAACTCCACTTAGAGTCAGTATAGCCACTGCAGAATGAACTGCTCCTACCATGAGAAGGAGAGTAACAGTATAAAAGCAGACATTCCCTACAGGTAGTCACTGTGCTAGGAACTAACTCTACGCAAGATCATGTTCATGAAAAAGAAAAAAAAAAAATGACTTAACCTCCTCAAAGCTCTATAACCTGTAGGGGAAAGAAGAGGACTACAAGTATATACAAACAGCCCCCGTGCCCCTAGCCCACCAGGAGACTGAGAGGTCTCAAACAGATCATCTGACTTTGAAGATGGGAATGTGATGGGGAAAAGGTGTCCCTGGAGCTAAGTGGGGTATGTATCGCTACTACTACACGAATAAGAACCCACTCGTGCAGTTACCTACAATCATTAACTGCAAGGCTCGCTCTAGGGTTTGTCTGTGCTGTCCTACTTTCCAGAAAAGGCTGCATACCTGAAGATGGCAAGAGTTTTGTCCTTCGACCCAAAGCCTCCCCAGTACCCAGCACACTGCTGGGCACGCGGAAAGAACCAATGAGGAAAAAACAGAGCCTCTGGTGAAAGAGAGGGACCACCCCTCACCCCCCCACCCCCGATCTACCCTGGAAGAGTAAAGAACTGGCCGCACGAATGAGGACTGACCCAAGAGCGTGCAAATCTCATCAGAAGGTTCTAGAGGCTCCCTCAGCACTGCCCAGATGGTTCCTGTCATCATGGCTCTGTCTGCTGCCTGCCTGTGTTAGGACCACGCAGGACAGGGTCACCACTGGAAGGCAGAGGAATCATGAATCCTGGGGCTGGGAAGTTCTTCTGGGTCATCCGCTCCCACCGCTAGAAGCCTCAATTCTTAGAAGCCTCACCCAGTACTTATAGAATTAAGGAGGCAGTCCATCTTACCTTAAAACATATTTAAGGGGGAAAAAAAGACCCTTCTTATTTGGGACTTCTTATAACTTTCATCCCCGGATTCTCCTTGTTCCTCTTAACAAGAACAGAGCTATGCACATGACTGACTTTCAGATATTAATGATAGCTTTCAGGTCCTCCTGGAGTTGTACCCAGGCCAAACCTCTTCTGTTCCTCTGTTACCTGTGACAGCTTTGGAACACTACCATATCCATCCAGGGGCCATCCTTTGTCTCGTTTCCTTTCATAGCCTGGAGCCCAGAACTACAGGGGTGCTCCTCCTATGACAAGTCCACAGCAGAAGTCTATCACCTCCCTCATCCTAAATACTGTACCTCTATTAATGCAGCCTAACGCTGCATTTGATTTTGGGGAACCACAAAAGACTGTCAAGTTTATGTCATTTGAACTCCTCGAGGTCTTTTTCATGTAAATTACTCCTCAGATATATCCCTACCTCTTCACCCAGTCTTTTCATGCATAGTTGGGATTTTTCTGACCCAAATACAGAACCTTACGTTTATTTCCATTGCATTTCATCCTGTTAGATTAAGCCTATCATTGCAGCCTGTCAGGATCCTCTCAGATCCTGATGCTTGTCTGAACTTACCCTTTCACCACAGGAAAAGGACCTCTAAATTCAGGTTAAAGAACTGCTTCTCTAAGCATTCTCTCTCAAACTTTTGAGAACTACCAATATCCCCTCTAGTGTCATTGGGGTCTACTTCTCTATCTCTCAGATGGTTGTACAGATTTTGCAATTTGTCTCAAAGGCGTGCTGACAGCAGAGTCCGGCCAGGAGTGCCTAATTACCAGAAGCCAGACCTAAATGACAATGTCTGCAGACGAGCCAAGCATCCTCCAAACTCAGGGCCTCCCTGTGCGTCCTGTTCAGGGCTGTCTGAGCGGCCAGCATGAAATAAATCCGGGGTTCTGTATTATGTGCAATTTCATCCGAACCTTGTCCAGATAGCAAAAACGTCCCCTGGCCCCCTACTCTCTTTCCGTGAAAGGAGACAAAGTTGTGTGATGTGCATGACACACAACCTCTACAGCTGATTCCTTATGGCACTTGGTGGAATGGTGAGATCAACACCCAGGACAGCCACATCTGACTGTACACAGCCTGGGGGTCCATGCAGATGACACCCCTTGAGTTAAGCAGTGTCAACTCAAACTCTGGTTAAATTTAGCACGTCTGAAAATTATTACAGACGTGTCTACAACAGGCCCTCCCTGAGCAGCTAACTCATGCCGAGCACTACGTCAGAGCCACCATTTCACCCAAACTTGCCGTGACTCTTGTTTCCCGTTCTTAACGTAAGATCACCTTTCAAAACCCTGTGTTCTTTCTTCCCTACCATGTTTGAAGCCATGAAAGGTAATTAACTTGAGGTTTCTGTGTTTCTTGCCTCCATAAGGAATACCTAAGTTTTCATGCCTGCCGCCTCCATAAGGAATACCGCTGATTCCGACTGTAAATTCAAATTCAACTAACTCTGAGTATCTACCTGATCCGAACAGTGTTTGTTAATCACTTTATTTCATGTGAATTTTCTAATCACCATGAGGGCAGCTCTGTATACACAAACACTATTTGGACTTACCTGGTTTTTAAAAATGAGTGTGTGTATATGTACGTATGTATGTATGTATGTATGTATGTATGTATGTATTTAAGATTTTATTTGAGAGAGAAAGAGAGTGAGCAAGAGAGAGAGAAATGCACATGAGCCAGGGGAGGAGCAGAGAAGCAGACTCCCCGCTGAGCAGGGAGCCTGACATGGGACTCAATCCCAGGACGCTGGGATCATGATCTGAGCTGAAGGAAGACGTTTAACTGACTCAGCCACCCAAGCACCCTTATTCATTTATTTAAAAAACAAATTTAAACACCCTAGTTCATCCTCAACTTAAATATCCTATTATTTTTATAATCACTCTCTTGTTTGGGGGGTTTTATTTATTTTTTTTAAAGATTTTATTTATTTATTTGACAGAGAGAGACACAGCGAGAGAGGGAACACAGGCAGGGGGAATGGGAGAGGGAGAAGCAGGCTTTCTTGCAAAGCAGGGAGCCCGAGGCGGGGCTTGATCTCAAGACCCTGGGATCATGACCTGAGCCAAAGGCAGACGCTTAACGACTGAGCCACCCAGGCACCCCTGGGGTTTTTTTTTTAAAGATTTATTTATTTATTTTGAGAGAGAAAGCATGTGTATGAGCAGTGGAGGAGCAGAGGGAAAGAGAATCTCAAGTAGACTCCACACAGAGCACAGAGCCAGATGCGGGGCTCAATCTCACGACCCTGAGATCATGACCTGCGCCGAAACCAAGAGTCAGACGCTTAACTAACTGAGCCACCCAGGAGCCTCTATAATTGTTTCAAAGGGCCATTCAAATAATTTCTGGTCCATTTTACAAAGCAATTACAACTCCTTTAAACATTTAAAATTCCATATTTAATTTAGAATATAGTTCTTTTAATTATTAGAACTGTTTGACCTAACTTCTAAAACCTTCCTTAAACAACTCTTAGAAACCTAATAAATTATCTTAAACACTCTAATACTGCTTAAGAATCTAGTAAGACTTCAACCCTCCCAAAAATCAAGTCTAAATCAATTACTTCACTGCACATTTTAATTTGGGAAAACAGGCTGACCTGTTGCATGGGCCAAATTATTTTAAATAATTACTTAAAAACATCAAATATGTGTAGAACCTCTAAGTCAAATATTAACACTATGGCTTTGATTCTATTAAAATCTTCTGTTTTTCAATTCTAAATCTTCTCAGGATTAAAATATGCCTACCCATTATGGAAAAAAGTATGACATTTCAAATGATTTAGGAATATCTTTTTGGCACTTGGGGTTGTACGTATTTTGGGGGAATCAACTAGGTTCTGATGGATTTTTGTCAGTGGCCTTGACAGAACATCCTGAGCAGGATTTATATGTATTTCTACAGCATGGTTCTCCAAATGGGGTGAATCCATATAGTCCAGAGCCCTGGATTTGAACTTTGGTCCTAAAGTGCAGAATTCCTTTATCAAGGACTGGGAGCTTAGGGCACCAACAATCACTGATGTAACTTAACTGGCAGTTAGCCTTGGCTCCACACAGCATAGTCTTGTTTTATAGATGTTAGAAATGTTAACCCTAATTTCTCTCACTCTCTCTTCTAAAACACACACACGGGGGGCGCCTGAGTGGCTCAGTCGGTTATGCATCCGACTCTTGGTTTCGGCTCAGGTCATGATCTCGGGGTTGTGAGATGGAGCCCAGCATCTGTCTCTGTGCTCAGCACGGAGCTGGCTTGAGATTCTCTCTCCCTCTGCCCCTCCCCGACTCGTGCTCGCACTCTCTCCCTAAAATAAATAAATAAAATCTTTAAAAAATAAAACACACACACACACACACACAGTGGTGCTTGATCCAGTAAACCTCACATTACAAACGTGACTTTCAACAAAGGTAATTGCAAAGTTATGCATGACATTCCTAAACTAATCCTACTGTCAAGTGGGGACCATCTCCTTTGTGCCTTACACTATGCCTGCCTGGTGCATCAGGGATAGAAAGAGAAGTCAGCCTGCCTGCCCACAGGGAGGGCACTG